TTTATGCATTTAAATTTACATCTGACCATAAAAATGATAAGATGTGAAAATTGTAAAAGGTTGAACATTTTGCAACCGATACCTTCCTCTAGAAAAGAAGAATTATTAGTGAAGAGAAGGTGTGTTTTTGTGTCTGATTTTGTGAATTTCGAATTTTCGAGTCGAATTTTCATTATCAAATCATTTTAATCAAAAAAAGTATATATTACAGTGTGCATTTAAATTTATATCTGACCATAACTGATGAAAATTAAGATAAGTAAGGTGTGAAAAATGTAAAAGGTTGAATACTTTCTACTAGAGAGGAAGAATTATATGTTCATCGTAGGTCTACAACATTTAGTAAAATTAACGGTCGCCACTAACCATGGAGCAATTGGCGATTAAAATATTGTTTTCTCGGCGCTAACTGATCACCACTTTTTTCGTCAAAAATGTACCCGCTGTGCATTTTGTAACTATTTTTTCAATTGAATATAGAATTAGGATGAATATTTTATAAATGTATATAAATTACTTTATTTTACACTTTTTTCTTAAAAATTTTCTTTATTTTAAATATGATCCTTGCAATATTTACTATACCTTGAGAAATGCTTCAAATCTCAATATCAAGAGTATTCTTAGTTCTTTTAAATTTTCAATTTATGAAAAAGTAGCCATCGTTAAGAAATTTTACAACTGGTCACATGTCAGCAATAAAATTTCCTAATTTTTTCACATGGTTCATTGTAAGTTAACATTTTTAGGATGTAAATAATGCTGATTTATTCGTTTAACGATTGCGCCTGGTAACGAAAATACAACTCACATCGGACGAAGAATTGATAAAAAAATTTCCTTGTAAAAATAGACTATTTTATTTATTTATACATTTTTTCTCCGAATACGCAATCCACCTGTAGATAATAATCACATAAAACATCAAAATGATTTTAATAATACAAATGAAATAATGCTCTAAGTATGCTCAACTGTAATTTATTACGATAACTCAGATAAAAAAAAACACTCTTATCAAATGCCAAATATATTGATTTGTCACACATATATATTGAGATAAAATTAATTTCTTTATAAATATTTATTTTCTTTAATAAGTTATGAGATCAATAACGGATAGCTCGCCAAAATTCAAAGATGGCAGGTCAGAGTTTATTTCTCACATTATTTTTGTGCGTAAATCTGTTTTATGCAGTGTTTGGAAGTGATTGTGGTTGTGACAGCAGCGAAGAAATAGCAACTAAATGCTCTAACGATGTTGGTGAGTACATTCATGTAGATCGCATAAATTGAAATGAAGCAAAATTAGGAGTTTTTGTTACAGACCAGCGGTCAGTGGTAACATTTTAAACTTTAGCCAGTTAGCGATTGCCAAAAAATGTTGATATTAATAATATAGACCATGTCTTTCGAAGCATTTCTTAAAATGTTACAATGTTCCTTTCTAGTATTAAAAAATTACGAAACAAGCATGCAGTGATTTTTAAAATATTATAAAATATTCAAGATAATTATTTATTCCATAATAATTTGATAAATTACTCATAATTATTACAAAAAAAACACTGTAATTAAGTGCACACAAGATGCATTTTTGACGAAAAAATGGTGATCTGGAGTAGACTAGCAGGCAATTGTTTAATCACCATTCGATATAATTAATCCCTTAATTAATTCCTTGGGCAAAATTAGGAATTTCTGCTAGTGATCGACTTTTAACAGGAGCAACATTTTTAAAGGCATGGCCACTTTTTTTTAAAAATGTAAAATTTTAAATGTTCAAAAAATCTGCTAATATTTATCGGCATCTTTTGGAAGCATCTCTCAAACTGTTGTAAACATTAAGAGATTAATTTCTAAACTGAAAGCGTGATATAAAGTAATTTTTTGAATACTATGAAATATTCATAATAATTACCTAATTATTCTATAAAATATTGCAATAATTCCAGAAAGACTATAGGTTGTCAAATTTTCCACAAAAGCGGTGGCGCCCGAAATCTGGCAGATATTTGTTAGTATATTCAGTCGCCTTGCTGCTGGTGAGGAACAGTAATCTTGTTCTATAAAGCAAAAATATCAATAAAATGTATTTGTTAATTCATTTATTTTTTTATTCTTGAATTTGACAGATAATCTGTGCTACAAGTAAAATAGTTAACTAAGAAGAGATTTTTAGAATACCTTTGAAGTAGCTTTCAAATAAAAGTACATACGAGGAATGTACCGAAAGTGAAACTCGCCAATTAGGCTGGATTTCTACATACAAATATTATTTTAGTTTAAGAAATAATATATAAAATTTAATTTGTCCATTTCGAAGTAACAATTAAATTAAAAATTATTAAAGATTACAAATTTTCCCTTGAATACATTGCTATAGCAATGTATTCAAGGCAAACTGTATTTAATAAAGAATGGAGTTTATATACTCTAAACGAATAGAGTGTGTAAACTCTATTCGTACTACAAACGAAGAGCTTTGTTTACTGTAGAAAATAATTAGCTTATGAAAATGTAATACTTTAATATGTGTGTTCAAAAAAGTTAAATAGAAAGATTAAATTAAAAATTTTAATTAAGCTATACTGTTTTGAACAATAAATTCCACCATAAGTCTGCTATTTCAAGTACTTTTTAAGATAACATCTTATTTTTTTTCATTTTAGATTTATAACGAGAATTGTTTGAAATTTATAATTAATAATTACCTTAAAAGTACTTTTTCTAACTGTATCGAATATATTTTATCTAACTGTATGAACTGGACATCGCTTGATATATATATATAT